TTTTTTAAAAGAAATTTTATTTATTTATTTTTTCAGCCCTTCTTATTTTGAGATAGAGTCAGTAAAAGTTGCCCAGGGTGGGCTTAAACTTTCGATCTTTCTGCCTTAACCCTCTGAGAAGCTGGGAGCATAGGTATGTGCCCCGTCTTCCTGGTTTTGCTTACAAAACACTTCTCAGCTTCCCCTTCCATCCTTTTCCTTTTTCATTCTCTCTTCCTTTGTCTCTCTGTCTCTGTCTCTATCAGTCCTTCCTTCCCTCTCTCTTTCCTTCTTTCCTCTCTCCCTCTCTCCCTCACTCCCTCTCTCCTACCTTCTTCTTTCTCTCTCCCTGCCTCTTTCTCCGTTTTTCCCTCTCTCCCTTTTTGTATTACTGAGTATTGAACTCAGGGCCTTTGTACTGAGCTACATCCCCAGCCTCATGTATGGGTCTTGCTAAGTTGCTAATGGCCCAGGCTGGGCTCAGACTTGCCTCAGCCTCTGAGTGCTGGGACTACAAGTGTGTTCCTGATGTGCTGTCCTCAGTTTGCGTCTCAGAATTTCAGCACCTAAATCCTGGGCGTACATTTCAGTCTGTTCATTGTTCTCTGTCATCCGGGCTTACAGTGGCTTGTTTTCCTTATATCTTTATTATTGGGGTTTTCTTTTTGAGAAGACCTATTTTACCAAACTTGATATTGGGGAATCTTGAAGGACTTGGATTTAGTGGCCTTTTTGCCGAGGATCCTTGCATTTGCCTCCGTGGGCACGAGGGGGTGCAGTGGAGCAGGAATTCTTCTTGAGTTCATTTCTGTCTTTGAGTGTTCTACTCCCTGTAGCATTCTGGGTACCATCCCTAAGACATATGGCATAGCAGTCCCCTGCTTATAGCCTCAGAGGTGCTCCCTCCACCCCGGCTGTGTAGTGAAGGCTGGCAGGATTTCTCTTTGCTTCCCACTCAGCTTTTGGAGGCTCTTCTACAGTTGGTTTTTTTTTTTTTTTTTTTCTCTACAGTTTAAATATCCTTCAGTCATTAGGCTTTATGTGGGACTTTCAGGCTGAGTACCCTGCTTTGGGCAGAGAGCCTCTGCCTTTCTCTCTTTGTCCAGTGAATGACTGCCAGCCCCAAACGTCAAGTTCTAATCGTGGTGTTGGGCCGGGGGCAGCTCTGAGCTGTGTTCCTTCTGTTCTTGCTCACTAGACTTTACGCATGTGGGTGTCTGGGAGTTCCTTTACTTTTCTTAGAAGTCAGCATTGTTTTTAGAGTATATTTGTTAGCTCTATGGTCTAACGTTTGAGCTAAGTATTCTGCTGCTGCGGGATATTTAGGAATAGCTATTGTGGAAGCAGAAGTCTCTGATTACAATTTTGGCAGTTTTACCACCTCTGAATTCAGAGGAGAAAGGTGAGGGCAGATTTGTTACAAGATCTATAGCCATGTTTCTTGAAGTCTTTGTGTCCTTGGAGGGTTTGTACTCTGGACCTCTCCTGTTTTCTTGGTTTGCTGTTCAGTGCTGTGGCTGGTAGTCCTTTCATTCTTCTTTTCTTTTTTTTTTTTTTTTTTTTTTGTTTTTTTTTTGTACCGGGAACCGAACTCACGACCTTGCACTTGCCAGGCAGGCGCTTTGCCGCTGAGCTAAATCCCCAGCCCCTTCATTCTTCTTTTCTGTGTAC